TGATATTGCTCTACCTTTTACCCTATTTCTGCCCTACCCCTGTAATCAATAACGTTCTCCTTTGTGACCGGTGTGGAGACTTATTGAGGGGTGGGACTAAATTATGCCAAGGAGGCCCCTTAGGTCGGTGGACTAAGGGAGGCTTCCTAATCAGCCCCTGACTTGGGGAAGTGCCCCAAGTGCTTGTACTGGGTCTAGCACCCATTGGACGATCAGGCCTGTGTTTTCCAAGGTGCGCAGAGCCAGAAGTGAGTCCAGAGCCTTGGATGGTGGCAGCGGGAACCCCAGGCTAGCGGGTGTGCTCCAGGGAAGGGGTCGGCCGGACGGGAGGCACCCCGAGGGAGGCACTCGGAGCCTGGAAGGTGGTCGGGAGCAGGGAGGTGGGCGGCTCAACGCAGGAGCGCCCCCTACTGGCCCGCCACATGCACTAGATGTGACCTCTGGAGCACATTCAAGTGCTGGCTATGAGCGGGGTCCCCGTGACAAAAATGTGATACTCTCTCCCTTTCACCTTCTGCTTCATGTCACCGTGAAAGAGAGGACCTTGGGCTGGAGGGCCCTGCGGGCTGACCCCCATCTGGCAGTTCTTGCCTTTCATAGTTTCATAGTTTCATAGTTTCAGGGTCGGAAGGGACCTAATAGATCTTCTAGCCCGACCCCCCGCCAGGGCGGGAGAACAACCCAAAAAACACAAACAAAACCACTCACCCTAAAAACAAAAACGGGACTCAAATGAGTCCAGCCAGGTAAGTATCCAGCCTCTTCTTAAAGATCCCCAGGGTAGGGGCCAGCACCACCTCCCTTGGAAGTTGGTTCCAGCTCCTAGCCGCCCTAACTGTGAAGTAGTTTTTTCGGATGTCCAATCTGTACCTCCTCTCCATCAACTTGTGCCCATTACTCCTTGTTATGCCAGCGGGGGCTAGGGGAAACAGCGTCTCCCCCAAACCCTTCTGGTTCCCCCTAGTGAGTTTATAGACGGTCACCAGGTCCCCCCTCAGCCTTCTCTTGTGGAGGCTGAATAGGTTCAGGTCCCGCAGTCTCTCACTGTAGGGTCTGCCCTGTTGTCCCCGGATCATGCGGGTGGCCCTCCTCTGGACCCTCTCCATGTTGTCCACATCCCTCCTGAAATGGGGCGCACAGAACTGGACACAATACTCCAGCTGCGGCCTGACCAGCGTCGCATAGAGGGGGAGGATCACCTCCCTGGCTCTACTCGAGATGCACCTGTGGATGCACGACAAGGTCCGGTTAGCCCTGCCAACCATGACCTCGCATTGTCGGCCCATGTTCATCTTGGAGTCAATAATGACACCAAGATCCCTTTCCGCCTCCGTGCTCTCAAGTAGGGAGCTCCCCATCGTATAAGTGTGCTGCTGGTTCCTACTACCCAAGTGCAGCACCCTGCACTTGTCCGTATTGAAACACATCCTGTTCCTGTTTGCCCACCCCTGTAACCTATCCAGATCCTTCTGCAATCTCTCTCTCCCTGCTAGCGTGCTCACCTCCCCCCAAATTTTGGTGTCATCAGCGAATTTAAACAGGTTGCTTTCCACCCCAACATCAAGATCGCTGATGAAGAAATTGAACAGCGCAGGCCCCAGGACCGAGCCCTGGGGGACTCCACTACCCACCTCCCCCCAAGTCGAGTATGATCCATCCACCACCACCCTCTGAGTGCGACCCTTCAGCCAATCTGCAATCCATCTGACCGTGTAGGCATCTATGCCACAGTCGCCTAGTTTATTAATTAGGATGGGGTGAGAGACGGTGTCAAAGGCCTTGCTGAAGTCCAGAAAGACTACATCCACCGCGACACCTGCGTCCATGGCCTTTGTGACCTGATCATAAAAGGCAATCAGGTTGGTCTGACATGATCTCCCCCTAATAAATCCATGCTGATTGCCCCTGAGCATCATTTCTGATGCCGGCCCATCACAAATGTGCTCCTTGATGATCTTCTCAAAGAGTTTCCCCAGGATTGAGGTAAGACTGACGGGCCTATAATTGCCCGGGTCCTCCCTTTTCCCTTTTTTGAAGATGGGGACCACATTAGCTACCTTCCAATCGTCTGGCACCTGGCCCAAGCACCACGATCGCTCGTAGAGCCGTGCCAGGGGCCCTGCAATAACCCCAGCTAGCTCCCTCAGCACCCTGGGGTGGAGAGCATCCGGACCCGCTGACTTGAACGCGTCCAGCCCCTCCAGAAGCTCTCTAACCCGGTCCTCCCCAACCTGAGGTCTGAAGGCGATCCCCTCGCGTCCGGCTTCTATCACAGCAGGGAAGTCCCGGTCCCTGCACAAGAAAACGGAGGTGAAGAATTGGTTAAAGAGGTCCGCTTTATCCTCTGACGCAACCACCAGATTGCCCCGCATATCCTGCAGGGGCCCCACATTACCCGGCGCCTTCTTCATCCTCCCAATATATTTGAAAAAGGACTTTTTGTTATCCTTAATCCTGGACGCTAATCCGAGCTCTATCTCCGCCTTGGCCTTCCTAACAGCCCGCCTGCAGGCCCGAGCAGAGGAGGTATACTCCTCTTTGGAGATTACACCCCCCTTCCACCGGGCGTACGCCACCCTTTTGGCAAGCAGGCATTCCCGGACACCCTTGGTGAGCCAGGGGGGCTTTTGGACACTCCTGCCCGCCTTGCTTCTTGTCGGGATGGACACCCCTTGGGCCCCGAGTATCGTTTCCTTAAGGAACGACCACTCCTCTTGGACGCTGAGTTCCTCTGCCCTCAAGGACCCCAGTTCCTCTCCCACTAATCTCCTCATCTCACTGAAGTTGGCCCTCCTGAAGTCTAGGGCCACCACCTTGCTGCGGGCCCTTGACACTCTACGCTGGATGGTGAATTCCAGCACGCGATGATCACTATTGCCCAGGTGGTCAAGAACCTGGAGGCCTCTTACCAGGTCGTCGCCTGCGGCCAGGACCAGGTCCAGCAGAGCATCTCCTCTGGTGGGACTGTGCACCTCCTGAATCAAGTGGAGGTCCTGCAACTCGGCCAAGAACCTCCTGGAGCGGTCCGTCCCGGCTGACTGCTCCTCCCAGCAGATGTCCGGGTAATTAAAATCGCCCATGACAACTACATCCCTTGCTTTTAGTGTCTCCGCAAGCTGGCCTGAAAATTCCCTGTCCAGCTCCTCCTCCTGATTGGGGGGTCTGTAATAGACCCCCACCGTCAAATCCCTCTCGCCTTGCCCCCCCTGGATCTTGACCCAGAGCACTTCAGCTCGCCCTTCCCCTGACCCCATACTGCTGGCAGAGGATGTGTAGTGCTCCTTGACATAAAGTCCCACCCCCCCCCCTGATACCCACAGGCATGCCAGAATAAGGAACATGGCTTTAAGTGAAGAGGTAATGTACAGGAAGAAAAAGTAACTATAGTATACTACATACAAGTAACTTTTTATATGTGGTTACATGTAGTTACCTGAAAGTCTGACCAAACTTATAGAAGTGATGCCACCAAATTTAATATTCACTTGTGCAAATACCTACAATGCAAATATCCAAATGACAAAACCAGCATGCACATGCTGATTAGGTTCTCAGAGCATATACTTGAGTTTATACCATTCTAGGCCCTTGGTGCTACTCAGGGAGAGCTTTAATGATACCTGTAGCAGTGCTAAGCACACACGGTAACAGAGAAGAGGCATAAACTTAGCTTGCTAGGCATCTTTTCACTAATCACTAGTTTAGGTTGATTACAAGTCTGCGCGAGATACACAGTGAGTCAACAGCCACTATAGCTCCATTCTTATACTAGTTTTGGGTTACAGAAGGACTTTACCAAGTGTCAAAACCAGCAGCATAGGGACCTAGCCAGGTGCCCGGTACACAGGGGCAGCAGTGACTTCCAGTTGCTGCTGCAGTTTACAATTGCAATCACATAGCTGTCAACAACCACTTTTTTTGCTTGTCCTTCCCCTGTCCCACCCATCCCACCCCAAGTCAGCGCCCAGGCTGGTTGCCATGTTTGCTCTGCCCGACTTATGCCACTGCCCAAAACCACAGTCTTGCTGATCGATTACACTGATGCTGTGAAGGTGCAGAAAACTGCTGCAGGGGGTCGGACTCGATGATCTGTTGAGGTCCCTTCCGACCCTAACATCTATGAATCTATGAATCTATGAAGAGAGGCTGCCTGCTCCCCTGCCTATGCAGGGGGTCGGACTCGATGATCTGTTGAGGTCCCTTCCGACCCTAACATCTATGAATCTATGAATCTATGAAGAGAGGCTGCCTGCTCTCCTGCATATGAGTCAGGGCATAGTCCTTCCCCCTCCTATGGCTTGAAGCCCAAATCCTCCAAGGGGGTTAGTGACTTCAGATGTGAGACTGAAGACACCCATGTTCCCATGACAGTGGTGGCTCATTGCCCCCAGATGACATGTCCGGAGATGTCAGGCCCCGGAGACCCCTTTCATGCTGCCCACCCAGAGCCATGGGTTTCTACGTGGACCACATATATTGTCACGTGTACAAGCGCCCATAGTAGTGCCTGGACCCCTGTTGCACTAAGACAAGGGATATCTTTCTGCGGGGGATGGAAAAGGATTCACACTTGGGGTCTTTTACTGGCTGAGGGTCAAGCCTGGGGACTCAGAGCTGTTCTGGCCCCTCCCGCCCTATGCAAAAAGGAGACAACAATATTGAGTTTCCAGAATAAGAATTTATTAGGAGGTGGAAAAGCAGCTTGTGGGGAGGAGAAACAGGAGCTCTGTAGCTCTCCGGCTTGCCAGGGGCCTTGTTTCCAACGATGCTTGCAAGCGGGATCCCCGGCTGGAGCTAGCGGGACGGCAGCAGCTTATCCCAAAAGGAAAGGGGCAATTTTGAGAGCACCATTAAGAACTTTTTTCCAGAATTTCCTCCTCGTGACGAGCTCGGGCTGGAAGACAGGGAGAAGGCAGCAGGGTGAGCAGGGACATGCAAATTAAAAATTAAAGATGCCCATCTGTGATCCCTGCTCTACCCAGCGTTGAAAACCAAGTGCATGGCCGTGGCAGCTGCATTTCTAGGCAGGCAGCGGTGAGGGAGTCCACTGACTTCCTGGCTCGTTATAATCTACCTGATCCCTTCTACACTCTTCACTCTGCCCATGTTAACGACCCCCTCTCCTTTTCAATGGACTCGATGTTGCACCCATCAAACTAGCCTTTCTTCTGCATTTCTGCTGTCTGTTTGCTGCTCCTGGTGCGGGAGCTCCTATCCCACAGCCCTGCAGACTGCTGCTAACTCTAGTTAGAAACATTAACTCAGGGGTGAAAATATTATCTCGGGTGAACTTCAGCTCAGGTGTGGAAATAACTTCCAGTGAAGCACCGAATGCACTGTCCAGATGCTCAAGAAGGCTAGATTTTGTTTTCCGAATCTGAAAAAGGGATGTCCATTTAATTCTAATGACTGGAGAACTAATGAAGCAACACCTTTTGATTATGGAGGTGTCTAAGACTTGGCTAGAGAAAGCCCTGGCTGGGATGATGTAGCTGGGCACGGTCCTGCTTGGAGCAGGGGGTTGCACTAGATGCGCCCTCCTGGGGTCCGTTCAACCCTCGTTGTCTATGATTTTTGCCTAGATTATTGTGGTTTTTATACATAGTATATGATATAGCAAATGAATGCACATTCTAATATATTTATATTCGTTTTTGCTCCAATCTTAAACTGAATCATACAGCCCTAGGCCACTAGCTTATGGTTTTAGTTTCTTTTTAGCTAGATAAAAAGAGGTGCTATGTGATATGTGATGGCACACCATATCCTCTGCACCCCCCTTTTTCAAATCCTAGATCGTGACCTCACGAGGTCCCATCCAACCCACAACTTTCTGTGGATCTGTGAATCCAGCCAGGGGCAGGAGGCATTGGTCCATGAGCTCCCGGCAGATGGAGATGCACACTCTGCCCGGGGATCATTCAGTGCCGTGAAGTGCCGGGCCGGGATCTCCACGGGGTAAACCCTCGGACCGTGACTCACCTCCTGAGATGTATCCTCGCATTTAACAGCAGTGACAGGGGGCTTTTTCCCAGCGGTGAAGAGCCCGGAGCAGTCTTTAACAAGCTGCAAAGGAGACACAAGACACCCCAGCTTCAAGGAGCAGCTCCCAGGGCTGCCCAAAACTCTGGTTTCCACCCCATTGCTCCTGTGGTCCCCGGTTCCCCATCAACCCAAGGGACTGTCCACAGCTGGACTGTGGTCCTCTGCACTGGACTGCCGCATGATGCCCCGCAGGTCACTAGTGCAGCGAGAGGTCGGCACGCTCCTTCCTGAGCCAGGCTTGGGCACTGCCCTGGGTGGGAAGGGCTGGATCCTGGTGGTCGGTGATAGAGAGACCAGGAGAGGGGAGATCTCGGCGCCTTACCCCATTTTCCTTGAAGTCGCATTGCTTCAGGTTGCCTTTCTGGGCTATCGGGCAGACCGTCTCTTTCACGGAGAACTTCAGCGGTTGAGCAGCTTGGGAAGACGGGTTCTGGGGAGAAAGTCAGAGGACAAGGCAGATGAGCTCCTACCCAGCCTTTATATAGGACCACCCTGCAGGCAGGTCTTGGCCCCTCTATGCCGGGTCATGTCGTAGACATGGGATCCTAGGAAAGTAGGGTAGACGGGACCTCAACAGGTCATCTAGTCCTGACTAACCCAGCCCAGCCCCGTGTCTGTATTTCTGGGAGCTGGGGGCTGAGGTTGTGGGCTGGGGCTCGTGGCTCGGGATGCCCCCAACTTTGGCAGCCTGGCATGAGATCCCCCCAGACTGCAGTGGACGTCTAATGCGTTGGGTCACACTACCTGAGAGGCAATGCTGTCACTTAGCAAGCAATTAGCAACCTTGATAATGAATTCACAAGACTTTTCACATTGAATCTCTTCGTCCTACCCAAAAAGAAATCCATGGTGTGATGAGAGGCAGGGAGGGCTCTTAATCCAAGGTTTCCCTTTGGAAGCCTTCCTAGGCCTTCACAAATCCCTTTCTTTCTAACAAGGAGATCTTATTCATCTATCTGAGTTGGGACACGCTCCTTCAGGCCAGCCAAGACCTGAACCCCTTTGCAGAGCTGCCCGGTTTGGGGATTTTATCAGCCCCAGCTCCCGGGGTCTTGTGGCTGCATGAGAAGCTCAGCTCCCATTTCTACATAAGGGGTCTGTTGTTTCTCACCTCCACCGTTTCAGCAAAGAGCTTGCAGCTATTACCCTCGAAAGTGCAGAAACTAGAAGGCAAAGAACCCAACCCCAGCCCCAAAATGCATGCCATTCGTTGGCAGCCAGGGTTCGTTGGGTAAATGTGATATTTTTTCTTCGACCAGCTAAATAGTAGGAAAAATTGTTCTTTACAAGCTTTCAGGTACAAACGCCCTTCTTCAGGTGCAGGGAGCATCTGTTGTTGGTGCGTGCTTAGACCAACACAGCTACAACCAACAACGCCACTATTGAGGGGATGGTGTGTGCATCCCCTCAATTTAGGGCCAATTCATGGCTTTGGAGGGCCAGTGACCAGCCACGCTGATGTGCGCTAGGCGCTGTACCGTACAGAGGGCGAGTTAGACCCAGCTGCTTGTATCGCACACCCTGCTGCTGTACCATTAGGCTTCCTAATTGTGCATGACTTCACATGCTTCCTTGGCAGCCAGACAAGCTGCTCTTAAGGACTAGGAAGCGGTTACACCAGGGCAACAGGAAATGTCTCGGTGGTTGCTACTCACCCACATTAAAGCCCTCTTGAAATGCCCACTTCTGCCATGCTGCTTCTGGCAAATCAAGGCGCCTTGCAAACAAATGACCCCCTGGTTGTGGCTTTCCCCTCATCCCTGCGTGCCGGGACTGCGAGGGGCTCTGAGCACCCGTTTGCAAAGCGCCCAGCACAAAGCACTGGAAGAAAATCAGCAGTGATCCCGAACAGGCGGGCTGGGAAGCGCGGCTAATGCAAGAGCCGGCAGCGGGGAGCGGGGGTCCCGGGGGCACTCACCCATTCCGACTGGGGCTCAGCCTCCAGGAGCCGGTAGGCTTGGGGCAGGCCCGACTCCTGGTTGAAGATGTCCACGGCGGTGGTGACAGCATCCTCGTAGCCTGCCTGGGACTGGGATTGGGTTTGGGCTTGGGCTTGGGCTTGGGCGGTGGCCACAGCCGTGGCCACCCCAAGAAGCAGCAGCAGGCGCAGGCAGGTCTCCATGCTGCACGCGGATGTGAAGCAGGAGGGCAGTTCTGCTCTGGGAGTGCAGGGGCAGCCCCTTTTATACCCTGCCTGCCCCGTGGCTCGCTGCCGGGTGGGCCACGTTGGCTGCTGGGCTTTTCTATTTCCTGCCAGGGGAAGTCCCCCCGAGCGGCGGGGCAGAGCCGGGGGCATTGCTGACATCGTGAGCAAGAGTTGCACAACAACTTGTCCCAGGGTCCCGAGGGCGGTGAGCGGCCCCTTGGTTGGGAAAGGCTGAGGGAAGTATCTGTTGGGCGGTTGGCACCGTTGGACCCCTGACAGCTGAAACCCTTGCAGCAACTTGTCAAGATCCCCTCTCAAGCCCTGGGATCCTCCAGGATCCATAGTCTTTAATGCACACATTGCCCTTAGCTGCATTACACAGCCGTGGTCCCCTGCTTTACCCGCGGAGGTTCGGGTGTTAGGTCCGTGCTGTGTCAAGGCTGAGAGTAGTCTTATGGAGAGTTTAGATTATGGTTTTTTATCTGGGGTGGTTTGGACTGGGCTGGACTAGATGACCGCTGGAGGTCACTTCCAGCCGGACTTCTCTGTAATTCTCTATGATTAATGAGAGACCCCCCTAGAGCAGGTTGCTCCGCACAGCTGGGGCCTGAAAATGCCTTTAAGACACTTTTTGTTTTAAAGGGCATCTTGGGATCACAGCATGGCGGTCAGATCCTTGGTGGCAATTAGAGCAGCCTAAAGGCTGCCCTGGTCTCTGCTGGCTGCTGGAAAAGGGGCTCTTCTCCATGACGGCATCCTCCAGCGCCTGCTGTAGTACTAAGGGATATAAAAACACATAATTTTGCTCACCAAAACTGCAGGGATTCAATTCCCTGTCCCTTGCACTCTCGTACCAGCATGCCCACGTAGCATACAGGCGCTAGGACTGCCCTGCCCTCACGCTATGTCTTTATGGCTGAGTGTGCCTGGGTCCAGGCACCTGGGTGTGAGCGCCGGGGAGAGCTGGTGAGTGCCCAGAGGTCTTCCCCAGTCATAGCCATGCACCCCTCACCCCCCAGCACTGGGTTTCTAGGGCATGCCCCATATTTCCTAGGAGATTGAGGAGCCAGGTTGAGGAGACTGTGCAGGTTGGCGTATGCCGAGGCAGAAGCAGACTGAGGCCACAGGAGCACAGAGCAAGAGGGAACTACATGGTCCAGCAAACTTGGGGAGACCAAGTGCAGCCCCAAAGCCTCCACGGACCGAAGGCAGCTCCATGGGTGGATCCAGGATTTTGAAAAGGCAGGGTGCCGATGGTGTGACACGTCATCGCGTAGCGCAACATGTATTTTTTCTCCAGTTAAAAAGAAACTAGAAGTTTTCCTAGTGTGCCAGGAGCCTAGTGCTACGCTATTCAGTTTAAGCTCAAAGCAAACACAAATCTAACTTGAGTGGAAGGTGCACTCACATCTTAGATGATAGCGCTCTCTCTTTC